AGGAGAAAAATTGTATAAATAGACTTCGTTTGCAAGGAGGTGGAAACTGATCAAAATGCAGCGATCCAAACTCCAGGCTCCAGTCGCCTCTGCGGCATTACTCCTGGTGCTAGCACTGCTGCGGCGCTATGCATTTCGCCAGGGATCACCAACAATGTCATCGGAGCTCTCAACTTCTTTCTATGCTAGCACTTATCCCGATCTCCCTCAGATCGTGAGAAGTGTGATTCACTCTGAATTTTCCAACGACAGTCGATCTGCTGCGTCGATCCTCAAGCTCCACTTCCGAGATTGCTTCTCTCGAGTAAGTCAGAAATTAAAATAGCGTTACTCATTTATGGCTGCCAGGGCTGCGACGGATCGCTGCTCCTCCAGCGAGGAGATGGGCGCTCCGCCAAGGGACTCAAAACCATCAACAACGTCAAGCGCGCCGTGGAGACTTCATGCCCGGCAACAGTATCGTGCGCAGACATTCTTGCGCTGAGCGCCCGGGAATCCGTCATAGCTGTGAGTGAGACTCTCCATCTTGAGTTGATCATTCTCTTTCGACTTTGCAGCTGGGCGGCCCTTCATGGACAGTAGAATTTGGCCGACGGGACAGTCCTGCGACCGTCGCCGCCGCAATGGAGGCCATTCCCAGCCCAAACCTCACTGCAACGCAGCTCATCCAGAGCTTCCAAAGGCGGGGTCTTTCCAAGCGTGATCTCGTAGCGCTTTCAGGAGGCCACTCCATCGGCCAGGCCCAGTGCTCTGCATTTAGCGCACGCCTCTTCAATGGAACCCCAGGAGATAGCATCGATCGGGCCTTCAAATCTCGACTCGAGAAGAATTGCCCTCCAACAGCCCCAGACAAATTGACCAATTTGGATCCATCCCCCACCACCTTCGACAACTTGTACTTTCGAGCTCTCCTGGCGAATCAGTCGCTCCTCTTTTCAGACCAGCAGCTCTTGGAGATTGATCTGGTGGGCTTTGTCAAGGAGTTTGCGGCCAACCAGCAGACATTCTTTACCGCCTTCGCCAATGGCATGATCAAAATGGGCAAGCTCTCGCCAATCACAGGAGGGCATGGTGAAATTCGATCCTCGTGCTAGTTTTTTTCCTATACATGTAAATCTATTCCCCACATAAAAATATACACCACAGCCCTGACTATAGAGAAAGGAATGTTGGCATATCCCGTAGCTTGATGATGGTGGTGGAAATTTTCTCGTCCTGATAAATCACTCTGGTGAGAGATTCCATTCTTCCCAATCAAGATCCCCCTTAAGCTCAGCCACTTGGCCAATGAGCCAAGATTTTCGCCGCGAGCCAGGGCACGTCATCGCAGCTGCCAAGGATGATAGAGTCCTTCAAAGAGGACATTCCAAGACATTGGTAGTCAACCACGAGGAAATCCACTTCAGAAATAACACCTTGCACTGAGACCTTGACGAAATTTCAATTGCCACGGTTAGGAATCTTCAACTCTTAAACCCTAACGTTAATATATATAAACCTTAGGTTTTAGACGTATTGCCACGCAATGGCGAAAATTCACTGGCATATACTTGCTTGCTGTGGAGAAAATTTTGTGCTGCCTAGGGCTAGCTAGGCGCTGCGATCGGCAGGAGTGATGCGCTTGGGCGCTCGGTGTCGTCATGTTTGAGGCTCATGTGAGTGATCGATCGCTAGTTTGGGGATTGGAGAGATGGATTGCATTGGCGGACTGGATTGAGCTCGCGATTTTCTCCATTTCTTGTTTCTGCAGGTCTTGTATCTTCTTCGCAGATACCTGGGCCAGTATGTGCGGGGTCTCTCAGCGGAGGCGCTCCAGATCAGTGTGTGGAAAGGTGAGAGCTAGATCTTTTGCTCGGGGGGTGTTGAAATTTTGGTGTTTTTTGGACAGGCGATGTAGTGCTCAAGGACTTGCAGCTCAAGGCTGAAGCACTGAATGCTCTGAGGCTTCCTCTCACTGTCAAAGCTGGATTCCTTGGGTCTGTCACGTTGAAGGCAAGGCATTGATCAAGAAAAGTGTACCTTCGATTCTTATGCTTTCGTTTTTCTTAGATTCCTTGGAACAAGCTTGGAAAAGATCCGGTGATTGTACTTCTCGACCGGGTTTTTGTTTTGGCGGAACCTGTTGAAGATGAACAGCTTTTCAAGGTACGATTTGGTTTTTAGCTTCAAGCGTTACGGAAACTTTCGTGAAATGCGGTTGCAGAACGAGAACATGGAATCCTGGCTTGACGCTAAGCGGAGCCAGATTGAGGTTAGTACATACTTGCCTGTGAAGTTTATTCTCAAACGCTTTTTTGTGTCTTTAAGGAGCTGGAGATGGCATTGCTTGATGCGAAGGCAGGAAGATCCGGTGATGATGCGGTATGTGCCGCAAAATGCTGTTTGAGGTTTCGTGTTAAATTTTCTGTTTTCTGCAGTCGCCGGAAAGTAAGTCCTGGTTAGGCTCGCTCGTTGCGACGATCATTGGCAATCTTAAAGTCTCCGTGACTAATCTTCATATTCGTTACGAAGACACCCTCAGGTCGCTTTCATCTCTATCAAGCTAAATGCCGGTACTGATACTGGCTTCATTTTTCAGCAACCCCTCCCATCCATTTTGTTTTGGCGTTACTTTAGCCAAAACTTGCCGCTGTGACCATTGACGAGAATGATGTAGAAACCTTCGTAACTAGCGGAGCTCTTGACAAGCTTCACGAGGTATTTTGATCAATTTTGTAACGTGTACTTCAGTTTCTTTTTTCCTGCTTGCTGTGCAGTCGCTCCAGCTGGATAGTTTTTCTATCTACCATGACTCGGATACTGGGCCGTGGACTCTGGAGAAACGGTGGGATGAGATGACATCCAAAGAATGGAGCGAGGTTTGTGTTTCCTTCAATGAAAACAGCATTTAAAATTATTATGGTTTCAGATGTTTGAACCGAGTATTAAAGGGAAAATACAACACAAGTACCTGCTTCATCCGGTTGCTGGCCTGATGAAGTATCACCGGTGTGGAAAGAGAGAGAAAAGGGATTCTAAAACACCTTTTCAGAAGGCTTCTCTCGTTTTGGATCAAGTGTCTATTGCTGTGTCTGAGGTTGGTTTCTCTAAATGCTACACTTGGGTTAACTTTCATTCTGTTTTAGGATCAATATCGGGATGGTATTCAACTGTTGGAGGGTGTTTCACGGTACAGGATACGAATGGAGTTCTCTCTCTTCAGACCTATGATACCCGTGTTGGTAGATGCTAAGGCATGGTGGCGCTATGCTGGTCGTGCGGTAACGCAGCAGCAGAGAAAGTCAAGGTTCGTTTTGATATTTAACCGAGTATGCTAAAGCAAATTTTTGCAGGTGTAACTTCTCTTGGGAAAATCTGTCTCGAGCATCAGGATTACGAAAGAAATATGTGGATCTTTATGTTAGCGGGCTCCAGCAGGGCAAGTTTGACAATTTTGAAATAAGGCAAATCGACCGGGAGCTAGACGTAGAAGTTAATCTACTTTGGAGGTCGGTAGTTTGTGTATGCTTTCTGTTAGTTGATGGAGAAGTGGTGGCTGCAGAATGCTTGCCCATGCAAAAGTTGAGACGGCAAAGTTAAAAGAGGCAGCCGCGGCCCGGGAAAAGTCCAGGAAAAGCACCTGGTGGCCATTTGGCGGGTATTGTGGCATATGTTTTCATTTGTTTTACATTAATCGCTTGCTATGCAGGAGCGGCGCTGGTCCAAGGGCCTCAGTTGCCCAAGGCCCTGAAACGGAAGCGGCCCCAGCGCAACTTACAAAGGAAGAATGGAATAAGATTAACGAGCTTCTAAGCTATCAACCGGGGCAAGACTATCCGCTGCTTTCTACTCAAGAGCCACAGAACATGCTGCAAACAATGCTCGACGTGACCATAAAACAGAGCTTGGCGTGCATAAAAGACAGCACCGATTTGGTCATATTATGTGGGACTTTCTCCAATTTAAACGTTTCTCTCAAGCTGTTCCCGAAAACGTTCTTCTGCGACACTAAGTTGACGTACTATGGCCTTTCATCTCCAGAGGGGCCTCTCGTTTCGGTAAGCTGAATGGAATTTGCATGTCTTAAGATGATAATATCTGTCTGGTTTGACAGAGCGTGAGTAGAGAGGGAAGAGCACAAGCGTTGGATTTGACGTTTGTGTATGTTCCTTTCGAAGAACATTTGGATTGGAAGCTGTCTGTCACGATGTCATCATGCTATGTGACGGTAACGTTTTGTGTTGAAAGAGTTCATCCCAGCTTACATAATGCGTGCAGGTTTGGAGATCCAGTTTTGACAGGGTCATGCACTTTATGAAATCTGGCCAAGCTATGAGCCCGACAGTGGCTTTGGAAACTGCTGTCGCTTTGCAGGTATGAGGCTCCGTAGCAAAAATATATGTTACTCATTTCACAGTGCATGCATGCCAGACAAAGCTAGAAGAGGTAACGAGGCGTGCTCAAGAACGGATACTATCTCAACTAGAGAAACAGAGAAGGTATTCAAAAGTTTATGCTACTCTTTTTGGCTTGACTTTTTCTTGCATGCAGGTTCTCTATAGATATTGATCTTGACGCTCCAAAAGTCTTAATTCCTGCACTCAAAGATGAAGGAATTGGAAAGAAAAGCCAATTGTTGGTAGACTTGGGACATTTTAATCTTCGAACACTGGTACGTGCATAAGATGCATCTAAAACTTACAACATCCTTCTTCAGGGGAATGACGACGTTGAGTTCCTGAAACGAAGTCGCTACACTAAACTTCATGTATCTGGACGGGATATATCGGCTTTTCTTTGTTGATGGTGATTTCGAATGGGCTCACTTTCCTGCGCTGGCCACTGATGCTTGTGACGCCGCTTATTCAATCCTGCCTGTGCTCGACCGTTGTGGGATGTCGATTATGCTACATATGGTGATGCTAGTTACGACATAGTTTGTGGCTATTGACTTTATGTTCCAGGCTCAATATGAAGATTTGAATTGGCCTTCAACATGCGTTGCAATTGAAGTTCCTCGCCTTGGTATCCATTTTTCTCCTACAAGATACCTTAGGCTGCTCTATCTTCTGCACGCTCTGGAGTCGGCTGACCGGTCCAGCTCCCAGCCGAACGCTTTATCTTGGCAACCATCAGAGGCAGCTGGAGATGCACGAGTGCTTAAATTGTTACTTTCCTCGCCCATCAGCGTCTAAGCATCACTCATTCTGCAGGGAATTGGTAATATTACTGCAGAATGGCAGCCTTGTTGGATTGCGTTGGCAGGGCCATACCTGTACGTTCTAGAGGCAGAAGACTCAAAGAACAGCCCACATCAATGCATGAGCTACTCCTCAAAGGACAGGAGGAAAGCCTCCTCTACCCTGGAAATCCCAAGCTTTTGGAGAAGATCACACTCTAGAGTCTCTACTGCAATGAAAGGCCCATGACATACTGGAAACTCTCACTTAAGCATCTTGCACTGGAGATTTCCCTTGTGGCCGGAGATGAATGCGGTGATGTTGTGATGTTGTGAGGTTTATTTATGATGCACTTGCACTGGACACACTTCTTCCAGTAAGATCTGAACCACATCACGTACTCTAGTCTAGATTCATATGCTTTTTGTTGAAAAATGAACAAGGTTATGAGTAAGTGATTTGCTAGTCATTATTGATCAAAGTGATTTTGGAAAGATGCTTTGAATGTGGAGTAGTTAACTATGTTTGCCTCCAAAAGAGTGTTTTTTCCATGTTGTTTGGCCAATGAGTGATTGCAAAAAGTTGTAAAGCTTGTGCCAATGCTATTTGATGGACAATATTGTTCAAAGTGAGTGATATATGTTTTGGCAAAGATGTCACCATTGCTAAAGAAGTGTGCCTTGCTATAGAATATGGATGTGCATGGGGAGAACCATCAATGGTAGACTCTTTCACTCAGTATCTATGGTAAACAATGCTTCTTTCTTGCTAGAAAGAGCATTTTGGTAATCTAGCTTGCATAGGTATCAAAACATCCCTATACCCTATGCATTATATGAAAGATTATTGGCTGCCATCTCTGCCTGAAATGAGTTTGAACTAGCATAATAAAGTGTCTAATATGTAGCAAATGCCAAGTCATAGAAAGATGTTAAAGAATTTTAATTTGTGTCAGAATAAAATGTCCAAAATGGGATAGTTCCAAATAAATAAGTATACTACTGTGGATTTCCCCTAACCAAGATTGTTGTCCTTTTGCAAATCCCAATTCCTCATAAAGAAAAGAGAAATTTAGCTATAAAATTGAAGAAAGATATGAAAGATATCATGAAAGAATATAGATATAGGATATCACCTAAAAACAGTGGAAAAAAAAAAAACAAAGAAAACAAGCTATAACTTTTAAAATGTTTCAAAGTGAATATGAAATTTGATATAGACTCATTAAAAAAGCTTATACTTAAACAAAGAGAATGAGATTAAAACGATGGAGCTAAAACACCAAAATGCCTGTAGAAAACTGATTTAAACTTTAAATTTATAACTCATGTAATTATGAGATAAGATTTAGATATATTATTATTATGAATCTTTGGAACCTTGAGGATCCATTTGGACAATTTCCTTGTTTTAACACACACATTTTGAGTTTTCAACTGTGGAGTGATAAATATGTTAAAGGCTATATTATCAAATAATTTCCCCTTTTTCAATTTGTTGGTGAAATTTTTTTTGCTACCTTGGAGTAGGAAAATATATGGTGCTTGCTTCACTTAGATTAGGATTAACTTGTTGTAGTTAGTGATGAAGCACAAGTGAAAACTCATGAGAGGGAAATAAGTGGGAGATTATTTTAAGCCTAGATAAAAAATTTGATGATTTACAAATGAAAAAAGTCTATATTAATGGGAACAATAGTATATAGTTGGTTAATTAGGATGTGATTATAGGATGAGATTTAGATAACTATCATTATAGATCCTTGAGATAAAATAGCTATTAAATTTATTTTTATTAAATAATTACCTTTTCTCCAGTTGACTTAAATAAAATATGTTACATTTGGTTAGGATGGGTTCAATTCCTAAGAAAGTGGCACATTCACAAAATGAGGAAACCGAAGTGGCATAATATTTATATATAGGAGAAAAAATATTTAAAAAAACGAGGGGCACATCACAATTATAAGGAAGGGGTACAACATTCAGAAAGAAGAGAAACATAAAATGGAAAAAAAAATATTAAAAAAAGAGAAAAGAAGATAAGAAAAAGTCACCAAAAAGAGAAAAAATATTAAAAAAAGGAGGAGGAAGACTTTTAAAGAGGATAAAAAATATTAAAAACGAAGGAGAGAGGAAAAGGCCTATGGCAGAGGAGACAAGAAAACATAATAGAGTGGGGAAATATAATATAGTTGAATGTTCAATAGGTGCTAGCTGTCATTAAATTTCATTATTTCTAATCTAATAGAGGAGAGGACAAAAGAGAAAAATTGTATAAATAGACTTCATTTGCGAGGGTGGAAGAAAATTTTTACTAATCAAAATGCAGCAATTCAAACTTCAGGCTCCAGTCGCCTTTGATGCATTACTGCTGGTGCTAGCACTGTGTAAGGAACTGACTCCCTAAGATGTCGTAGGCTAAAGGATCCCCGAAAGCATGACTGAAATGACAAAGAGTTCATCGGATGGGACCGATACTTGGCAGATAATGCCAAGTCTTGGTGGAGAACGACAGAGGCCAACGAAGGACCGGTGGCCACTTGGGAAATGATGAAGGCGAGGATCCGCGCAACTTACGTTCCTCCGAATGCTACTCTGCATCTAAGGGACGAGCTGAGTAGGCTGAAGCAGACCAAAACCATTCAGGAGTATGTGAATGGGTTTATGGCAAAGAGGATACTTGTCATGGACATGGGGGATATGGATGCGTTCCATGCCTTCATATCAGGTTTGCAAACCTGGGCTCGCGGTGAAGTGATGCGATGGAACCTGACCAACTACAAGGAAGCGTTGGATGCGGCCATCAAGGTGCATTTCAACGATAACCTGCGAAAGGGGAACACGACGAGGTCGGGATGCACGTTTAGCAAAGGGGCCAAACCAAGGGGAACGTTTAGCAGAGGGAAATTCAAGAAGAGTTTCTCTAAGAATGAGTCTTCGGGGTTCCGGAAAGGCAAATTTGGTGGCCAGCGAGCGAGTACGTGGGGGAGTCAAGCGAAAAGAGACAAACCCACAGATAAGAAGGTCAAGTCATATAGCAGCGTGGGAAACAACGTATGCTACAACTGCGGTGAAGCGGGACACTTTTCGAGGGAATGTCCCTACCCGAAAAAGGCCAGAGCCAATATGGCCATCAAGTCGGGTGAAGTCCAAACTGAGGTATGTGATCCAGTCCCTAACTCAAAGTTACTCATTATACGAGCAACTTTGGTAGAGAGTCGTTCGCGACATCTACTAGCCCTCCGAGGGAAGCTCGGAGGTAGCTTTGTTAAGATCCTTATTCACACGGATGCTTCGGATAATTTTGTGGCTGCAGACATAGTCCGGCAAGCCGGACTAATGGCGCAGCGGCTAGGCGAACCAAGGACTATAGAGTTTGTTCAAGGTAGCCAAAGCACCGATGAGGTACTTCGACAAGCGAGAGTCGAAGTAGGGACATGGAAAGTGGACATGGATTTCACTGTGTTGGACATGGTGGGATTTGACGTGATCTTCGGAATGGACTGGTTCAATCGGTTCGTGGTAGCCCTGCATGGACGAGGTAGAAACCTTGTGGTACTGGCGAATGCCCAAGGAAGAAGATCTAGGGTGGAGGCCTAGGATCTAAAGGTAGGGCAAAACAAGGCCAAAGAATCCTGCTTAAACTTGGTGTCCACGAGAGGACAACTCACTAAAGGAACTAAGGCAACATTTTTGTGCTTACTCTCGGTGAAGAGTGACAAAAAGACAGGAACGGAAGAAGTACCTTTAGTGATCCAACGGGTGTTGGACCAATTCCAGGATACCATGCCGGAGGAGTTACCGGCGGGGTTGCCCCCCGCACGATCGATAGAACATAAGATTGAGCTGGTCGAGGGTGCTGAGGCGGTGGTTCGTCCCCCCTATTGTTTGAATGAGAAAGAACTCGAGGAGCTCAAGTGCCAACTAGAGGAGTTGGTGGACAAAGGGTATGTTAGGTTGAGCAAGTCGCTATATGGGGCGCCGGTGTTATTTGTGAAAAAGAAAGATGGATCTATGTGCATGTGCATAGACTATCGATTGCTCAACAAGTATACAAAGAAGAACAAGTACCCTTTGCCCAGGATTGAGGACCTGTTTGATAGGTTGGGAAAGGCAAAATACTTCTCGAGAATTGACCTGAGGTCAGGATACTACCAAATCAGGGTAGCAGAGGAAGATGTCGAGAAGACAACCTGTCGAACTAGGTATGGGAGCTTTGAGTTTCTGGTCATGCCCTTTGGGCTGTGCAATGCGCCGGCAACGTTTTCGGCGTTGATGAACCATATCTTTGTACCCTATCTGGATCACTTCGTGGTCGTCTATATTGACGACATCCTAATCTATAGCGAGATGCTAGAGGAGCATGCCGAACACTTGGCGAAGGTATTTGAGAAACTAAGGGAACACAAACTGTATGCTAAAGAGAGCAAATGTGACTTTGCTCAACAAGAGGTAAAGTTTCTCGGGCATGTGGTGGGCCAGGACGGGCTCAAGGTGGACCCAGAGAAGGTCCAAGCGATCCAGGAATGGGAGCGACCATCAAATGTACATAAGTTGAGGGCGTTCTTGGGGCTATGCAACTACTATCGAAAGTTTATCAGACACTATTCGAGAGTAGCCCTGCCCTTAACGGACCAAACAGGAAAAGGGAAGATGGTATGGACAGCGGAATGCGAGGCAGCATTCGTCCACCTTAAAGGGAAGTTGAGGAAGGCTCCCGTGTTGGCATTACCAGACTTTGGTAAGGACTTTGAGGTAGAAATGGATGCTTCGGACTTTGCGTTGGGCGCAATTTTGAAGTAAGACAACTATCCAATAGCGTTCTTCTCGAAGAAGTTGGACAAGGCTCAACGGAAGTGGCTTGCCCACGAGAAGGAATTGTTTGTGGTGGTCAAGGCGCTCAAGGATTGGCAACACTACCTTGGGAGACACTTCAAGGTTTACACGGACAATGTAGCAACGAAACACTTTTGTCATAGCCCGACCTGAGAGGGAAACAAGGTCAGTAGGCCAATGCCTTGGCCGAGTTTGATTGTGAGATTCTGTACAAGCATGGGAAGAGCAACATCGTGGCGGATGCGCTAAGTCGAAAAGCGAGCTTGAGGTTGGCGATATCCAACGCAACAGCAACCTTCTGGGACGATGTGCGGACAGCATATGAGAACGATGGTCTAGCACAAGAAGTGTTGCTGAGGAATCTAGAAGCACGGGAAGCTCACCAGAGAGGTGAGCTGCCAACGGAAGAAAAAACGGGCTATGCGGAACGCAACAGACTCATCTATTACAAGCAAACGAGGGTGTATGTTCTAGAAGGGGAACTAAGGAAGGTAGCCTTAGAAGAGTGTCATAATGAACCTCTTGCGGGACACGGCGGAGTGCCTAAGACGATGGGCTTACTCAAGAGGAAGTACCATTGGCCAGATATGGCTAAGGACGTCCAAGACTATGTAAAGACATGTCCAACATGTCAGCAGGTCAAAGCCGTGACTAAGGCTAGTGGGGGCTTGTTGCAAAGCATCCCAATTCCAGATCATCCGTGGAAATGTCTTACGATGGACTTCATCACGAGACTTCCCCCAAGCGAGGGGTTTGATGCGATATTCGTGGTGGTGGACCGATTTTCGAAAATGGCACATTTCATACCCACCACAATGGAAGTGGATGCGGAAGGTGTGGCGAAGCTATTCTTCGAACAAGTGGTTCGAGTGCGAGGAAGGCCGGAAGAGATCATCTCAGACCAAGATAAGATCTTCACTAGTAGGTTCTAGAGGACTCTCCTAGAACAGTATCGCACCAAGTTGAAATTCAGCACAGCCTATCACCCACAGACAGGTATGGGGTATTAAGTCAAGTTGGTTGGCACTAACACTTCTTGATAGACGGACAAACGGAAAGGGTGAATAGGCAGCTGGAGGATTATTTGCGATGCTATGTCTCAGGAGACCACACCGATTGGGTAAGTCATTTGGGACTTGCAGAAATATGTTATAACAACTCACCATATTCGAGTATCAGGGTGAGTCCATGGGAAGTCATCAATGGGCGAGCTATTGAAGGTCTTGTGGAGCTCGGTGTGGCCGAGTACCATGGAGAGTTACCCGCAGTGGAGGCATTCATGGCGGAAAGACTCAGCATTTAGAATCTAGTGAGGGATTCCTTGGAACGGGCTCAACAAAGGCAAACCAAATACGTGAACCAGAAGCGTCAGGATGTAGAGTTCCAAGCTGGGGAAAAGGTGTGGCTGAACACCAAGAACCTCAGGCTACCAAGTGGGATCAGCCGAAAGTTGACCCAAAGGTAAAAATGCATGTATTCCTGTAAATGAATTGATCTTGAGTTCCTTAAGCAGGTTCGCAGGGCCTTACGAGATCGAGACACGAATCGGTAAAGTGGCTTACCGACTCCGACTTCCTCGAGTGATGGGGAAGATGCACCCAGTGTTCCGCGTGAACTTACTCAAGCCGTACTTTGAGGATCCGCTTCGCAAGGACCAAGTAAGACCTTTACCTGAGGTTATCCAAGGGGAAGAGGAATACGAAGTTGAGGCCATCCTCAATGCGCGCAAGAGCAAGCGACAAGGACGCGAGGTGAAAGAGTTCCATGTGAAGTGGAAAGGATTTCCACACTGCGAAGCAACGTGGGAACCGGAGGAGAACCTAGAAAACGCGCGAGATCTAGTGGAGGAATTTCTGCAAGGCAGAACTCTATGTATTTATGCAAAGTTCAATTAAAGTATCAATTTGTGGAGTTGAGCAATGGCATATGTTGGGACCCGAAAGCGCGCCGAAGGTAAGCTAATTAGCATGGGTTAGCTAGGTCGACCAGGCGTAGGGCACTACGCCCGACTCCCCGCGGGGATGTCAAATCCATAGACATATTCTACGGAGGTTGGGTTCAAGTCCCAACCCCCTAGTAAAGCAAGGCTGGGTTCAAGTCCCGACCCTATACTAGGGCGTGGTGAGGTGAGGAGTGTAGGGACACCTATACTCTGTTGTCATGGCTCTTGGCCAGGGAGGCTAATTTAGGCACACCGCTAAGTGGGGGGATGCCCCCGGAGACATGGTCAACAAGTCGTAAGATAAAAAAGAGACGTTCGATGTGGGCATCGAACTTCTTCTATGGGTGGTGGAGTTGTAAGGAACCGACTCCCCGAGATGTCGTAGGCTAAAGGATCCCCGAAAGCATGACCGAAATGACAAAGAGTTCATCGGATGGGACCGAGTCGAAGATTGAGTCCAAGACCGACTCTGAGACCGAGTCGAGATAGAGTCCGGGATCGAGTCCGAGACCGAATCGAAGACCGAGTTCGAGACCGAGTTCGAGACAGAGTCCGAGATCCAAATCGGGTCCGAGACCGAGTCCGAGGTCGAGTCCGAGGTCGAGTCCGAAGTCGAGTCCGAGATCGGGTCCGAGATCGAGTCTGAAATCGAGTCCGAGACCGAGTCCGAAGTCGAGTCCGAGATCGAGTCCGAGATCGATTCTGAGACTAATTCCAAATACTAATACAGCTCAAGGCGTGAAAGCCCAAAGCATGCATCTCCCAGGGGGGGGGGGCTGCAAGGGGTTCCAAAAGTATAGTAGGGATAGTGAGGTCCAAGAACCAGTCTTGAAGGAACTCTCCAGTGGGGCTTCCAAACTGACTTGAGGTTGAGATTGGGGCCGAGGGGCCTTGGGTGGGAGTGAGCATGGGCTTGAGTGGTGCCGAAGGGGCCAACCAGGGAAGTGCTCAAGAGTAGCTCCCACTCCCGAAAGGGAAACCGACTACAGTGCTCCCGGCTCATGTGGAGTGGTGCCCCACTTGAGTACCTTGTGGCTCATTGGTCCTCGCCCTTCCTAGGGGCTTGGGCCTTGCCTTCGGGATGGAAGTGCGGGGGTAGAGGTACCCATACCGGGCCGTTAGGCCACGGTGTTTCTCCCTGACGTCCCGAAGCAAGTGCTGCACCCAAGGCTTGGGATTTAGAGGGTCCCATGATCAAGTCTTGTGGTACCAAGGGGTGTTAGGAATCTGGAGGCTTGGTGTGCTTGGCTGCTTGTGCCTGCGGGGAGTGTAACCGAACCTTAATTCCAGTCTAACCCGGGGAGGGGGATTCGGAGAGATTTGGGAATCCGTAGATGGATGGCTAACACTTCGTTGCTCATGCAGTGAGTAGCTAAAACCAAGTAGGACCAAGTAGGAGCTGGTACCATAGGCGAGAACCTTGGCGAGGGACCTTAGCACAAGCCAAGGCAGTGTTGGTCGAATAGACGAGGTAAGCTGGCAAATTGGAAAGGAAAAATTTGTGGCTTACACACTGCTGTGGCGCTATGCATTTCGCCAGGGATCACCAACGATGTCATCGGAGTTCTCAACGTCTTTTTATGCTAGCACTTGTCCCGATCTCCCTCAAATCGTGAGAAGTGTGATTCGCTTTGAATTTTCCAATGACATTTTGAGTTTTCAACTGTGGAGTGATAAATATGTTAAAGGCTATATTATCATATAATTTCCCCTTTTTCAATTGGTTGGTGAAATTTTTTTTGCTACCTTGGAGTAGGAAAATATATGGTGCTTGCTTCACTTAGATTAGGATTAACTTGTTGTAGTTAGTGATGAAGCACAAGTGAAAAATCATGAGAAGGAAATAAGTGGGAGATTATTTTAAGCCTAGATAAAAAATTTGATGATTTACAAATGAAAAAAGTCTATATTAATGGGAACAATAGTATATAGTTGGTTAATTAGGATGTGATTATAGGATGAGATTTAGATAACTATCATTATAGATCCTTGAGATAAATAGCTATTAAATTTATTTTTATTAAATAATTACCTTTTCTCCAGTTGACTTAAATAAAATATGTTACATTTGGGTAGGATGGGTTTAATTCCTAAGAAAGTGGCACATTCACAAAAATGAAGAAACCGAAGTGGCATAATATTTATATATAGGAGAAAAAATATTAAAAAAAACGAGAGGCACATCACAATTATAAGAAAAAGGTACAACATTCCATGCATAAGGAACTTAAGAGAAGGCGGCAAAGAGTATTGTGCCACGCCATTCATGCTAGACAAGCAATGGGGATGCGGACAAAAACTTGGTTTCATCTCACGGGCGGAAAACCTTCGACCTCTCCAAGTTTTCCCTGTCAAACTCATGCTGAAGAGAAACATAAAATGGAAAAAAAATATTAAAAAAAGAGAAAAGAAGATAAGAAAAAGTCACCAAAAAGAGAAAAAATATTAAAAAAAGGAGGAGGAAGACTTTTAAAGAGGATGAAAAATATTAAAAACGAAGGAGAGAGGAAAAGGTCTATGGCAGAGGAGACAAGAAAACATAGTAGAGTGGGGAAATATAATATAGTCAAAAGTTCAATAGATGCTAGCTGTAATTGAATTTTGTTATTTCCAATCCAACAGAGGAGAAGACAAAAGAGAAAAATTGTATAAATAGACTTCATTTGCGACGGGTGGAAGAAAATTTTTACTGATCAAAATGCAGCGATTCAAACTTCAAGCTCCAGTCGCCTTTGCCGCATTACTACTAGTGCTAGCACTGCTGCGGCACTATGTATTTCACCAAGGATCACAAATAATGTCATCAGAGCTCTCAACTTCTTTCTATGTTAGCACTTGTCCCGATCTCCCTCAGATCGTGAGAAGTGTGATTCACTCTGAATTTTCCAACAACAGTCGATCTGCTGCATCAATCCTCAAGCTCCACTTCCAAGATTGCTTCGCTGGAGTAAGTTAGAAATTAAAATAGCGTTGCTCATTAATGGCTGCCAGGGCTGCGACGGATCGCTGCTCCTCCAGCGAGGAGATGGGCGCTCCGCCAAGGGACTCAAAACCATCAACAACGTCAAGCGCGCCGTGGAGACTTCATGCCCGGCAACAGTATCGTGCGCGGACATTCTTGCGCTGAGCGCCCGTGAATCCGTCATAGCCGTGAGTGAGAATCTCCATCGCGGCTTGAGTTGATCATTCTCTTTCGACTTTGCAGCTGGGCGGCCCTTCATGGACAGTAGAATTTGGCCGACGGGACAGTCCCGCGACCGTCGCCACCGCAATGGAGGCCATTCCCAGCCCAAACCTCACCGCAACGCAGCTCATCGAGCGCTTCCAAAGGCGGGGTCTTTCCAAGCGTGATCTCGTAGCGCTTTCAGGAGGCCACTCCATCGGCCAGGCCCAGTGCTCTGCATTTAGCGCACGCCTCTTCAATGGAACCCCAGGAGATAGCATCGATCGGGCCTTCAAATCTCGACTCGAGAAGAATTGCCCTCCAACAGCCCCAGACAGATTGACCAATTTGGATCCATCCCCCACCACCTTCGACAACTTGTACTTTCGAGCTCTCCTGGCCAATCAGTCGCTCCTCTTTTCAGACCAGCAGCTCTTGCAGAGTGATCTGGTGGGCTTTGTCAAGGAGTTTGCGGCCAATCAGCAGACGTTCTTTACCGCGTTCGCCGCTGGCATGATCAAAATGGGCAAGCTCTCGCCAATCACAGGAGGGCATGGTGAAATTCGATCCTCGTGCTAGTTTTTTTCCTATACATGTAAATCTATTCCTCACATAAAAATATACACCACAGCCTTGACTAGAGAAAGGAATGTTGGCATATCCCGTAGCTTGATGATGGTGGTGGAAATTTTCTCGTCCTGCTAAATCACTCTGGTGAGAGATTCCATTCTTCCCAATCAAGATCCCCCTTAAGCTCGGCCACTTGGCCAATGAGCCAAGATTTTCGCCGCGAGCCAGGGCACGTCATCGCAGCCGCATCGGCGAAATTTCAATTCCCACGGTTAGGAATCTTCAACTCCCTGCGAATAACGAAACCGAAGCTTTGACAATGGCGAAGAAAGAGGCTGCACTCTTAAACCCTAACGTTAATATATATAAACCTTAGGTTTTAGACGTATTGCCACGCAATGGCGAATATTCACTGGCATATACTTGCTTGCTGTGGAGAAAATTTTGTGCTGCCTAAGGCGCTGCGATCGGTAGGAGTGATGCGCTTGGGCGCTCGGTGTCGTCATGTTTGAGGCTCATGTGAGTGATCGATCGCTAGTTTGGGGATTGGAGAGATGGATTGCATTTGGCGGACTGGATTGAGCTCGCGATTTTCTCCATTTCTTGTTTCTGCAGGTCTTGTATCTTCTTCGCAGATACCTGGGCCAGTATGTGCGGGGTCTCTCAGCGGAGGCGCTCCAGATCAGTGTGTGGAAAGGTGAGAGCTAGATCTTTTGCTCGGGGGGTGTTGAAATTTTGGTGTTTTTTGGACAGGCGATGTAGTGCTCAAGGACTTGCAGCTCAAGGCTGAAGCACTGAATGCTCTGAGGCTTCCTCTCACTGTCAAAGCTGGATTCCTTGGGTCTGTCACGTTGAAGGCAAGGCATTGATCAAGAAAAGTGTACCTTTGATTCTTATGCTTTCGTTTTTCTTAGATTCCTTGGAACAAGCTTGGAAGAGATCCGGTGATTGTACTTCTCGACCGGGTTTTTGTTTTGGCGGAGCCTGTTGAAGATGAACAGCTTTTCAAGGTAAGATTTGGTTTTTAGCTTCAAGCGTTACGGAAACTTTCGTGAAATGCGGTTGCAGAACGAGAACATGGAAGCCTGGCTTGACGCTAAGCGGAGCCAGATTGAGGTTAGTACATACTTGCCTGTCAAGTTTATTCTCAAACGCTTTTTGTGTCTTAAGGAGCTGGAGATGGCATTGCTTGATGCGAAGGCAGGAAGATCCGGTGATGATGCGGTATGTGCCGCAAAATGCTGTTTGAGGTTTCGTGTTAAATTTTCTGTTTTTTGCAGTTGCCGGAAAGTAAGTCCTGGTTAGGCTCGCTCGTTGCGACGATCATTGGCAATCTTAAAGTCTCCGTGACTAATCTTCATATTCGTTACGAAGACACCCTCAGGTCGCGTTCATCTCTATCAAGTTAAATGCTGGTACTGATACTGGCTTCATTTTTCCGCAACCCCTCCCATCCATTTTGTTTTGGCGTTACTTTAGCCAAACTTGCCGCTGTGACCATCGACGAGAATGATGTAGAAACCTTCGTAACTAGCGGAGCTCTTGACAAGCTTCACAAGGTATTTTGATCAATTTTGTAACGTGTACTTCAGTTTCTTTTTTCCTGCTTGCTGTGCAGTCGCTCCAGCTGGATAGTTTTTCTATCTACCATGACTCGGATACTGGGCCGTGGACCCTGGAGAAACGGTGGGATGAGATGACATCCAAAGAATGGAGCGAGGTTTGTGTTTTCTTCAATGAAAACAGCATTTTACATTATTATGGTTTCAGATGTTTGAACTGAGCATTAAAGGGAAAATACAACACAAGTACCTGCTTCATCCGGTTGCTGGCCTGATGAAGTATCACCGGTGTGGAAAGAGAGAGAAAAGGGATTCTAAAACACCTTTTCAGAAGGCTTCTCTCGTTTTGGATCAAGTGTCTATTGCTGTGTCTGAGGTTGGTTTCTCTAAATGCTACACTTGGGTTAACTTTCATTCTGTTTTAGGATCAATATCGGGATGGTATTCAACTGTTGGAGGGTGTTTCACGGTACAGGATACGAATGGAGTTCTCTCTCTTCAGACCTATGATACCCGTGTTGGTAGATGCTAAGGCATGGTGGCGCTATGCTGGTCGTGCAGTAACGCAGCAGCAGAGAAAGTCAAGGTTCGTTTTGATATTTAACCGAGTATGCTAAAGCAAATTTTTGCAGGTGTAACTTCTCTTGGGAAAATCTGTCTCGAGCATCAGGATTACGAAAGAAATATGTGGATCTTTATGTTAGCGGGCTCCAGCAGGGCAAGTTTGACAATTTTGAAATAAGGCAAATCGACCGGGAGCTAGACGTAGAAGTTAATCTACTTTGGAGGTCGGTAGTTTGTGTATGCTTTCTGTTAGTTGATGGAGAAGTGGTGGCTGCAGAATGCTTGCCCATGCAAAAGTTGAGACGGCAAAGTTAAAAGAGGCAGCCGCGGCCCGGGAAAAGTCCAGGAAAAGCACCTGGTGGCCATTTGGCGGGTATTGTGGCATATGTTTTCATTTGTTTTACATTAATCGCTTGCTATGCAGGAGCGGCGCTGGTCCAAGGGCCTCAGTTGCCCAAGGCCCTGAAACGGAAGCGGCCCCAGCGCAACTTACAAAGGAAGAATGGAATAAGATTAACGAGCTTCTAAGCTATCAACCGGGGCAAGACTATCCGCTGCTTTCTACTCAAGAGCCACAGAACATGCTGCAAACAATGCTCGACGTGACCATAAAACAGAGCTTGGCGTGCATAAAAGACAGCACCGATTTGGTCATATTATGTGGGACTTTCTCCAATTTAAACGTTTCTCTCAAGCTGTTCCCGAAAACGTTCTTCTGCGACACTAAGTTGACGTACTATGGCCTTTCATCTCCAGAGGGGCCTCTCGTTTCGGTAAGCTGAATGGAATTTGCATGTCTTAAGATGATAATATCTGTCTGGTTTGACAGAGCGTGAGTAGAGAGGGAAGAGCACAAGCGTTGGATTTGACGTTTGTGTATGTTCCTTTCGAAGAACATTTGGATTGGAAGCTGTCTGTCACGATGTCATCATGCTATGTGACGGTAACGTTTTGTGTTGAAAGAGTTCATCCCAGCTTACATAATGCGTGCAGGTTTGGAGATCCAGTTTTGACAGGGTCATGCACTTTATGAAATCTGGCCAAGCTATGAGCCCGACAGTGGCTTTGGAAACTGCTGTCGCTTTGCAGGTATGAGGCTCCGTAGCAAAAATATATGTTACTCATTTCACAGTGCATGCATGCCAGACAAAGCTAGAAGAGGTAACGAGGCGTGCTCAAGAACGGATACTATCTCAACTAGAGAAACAGAGAAGGTATTCAAAAGTTTATGCTACTCTTTTTGGCTTGACTTTTTCTTGCATGCAGGTTCTCTATAGATATTGATCTTGACGCTCCAAAAGTCTTAATTCCTGCACTCAAAGATGAAGGAATTGGAAAGAAAAGCCAATTGTTGGTAGACTTGGGACATTTTAATCTTCGAACACTGGTACGTGCATAAGATGCATCTAAAACTTACAACATCCTTCTTCAGGGGAATGACGACGTTGAGTTCCTGAAACGAAGTCGCTACACTAAACTTCATGTATCTGGACGGGATATATCGGCTTTTCTTTGTTGATGGTGATTTCGAATGGGCTCACTTTCCTGCGCTGGCCACAGATGCTTGTGACAACGCATATTTAATCTTTCCTGTACTTGACCGTTGTGGGATGTCGATTATGCTACATATGGTGATGCTAGTTACGACATAGTTTGTGGCTATTGACTTTATGTTCCAGGCTCAATATGAAGATTTGAATTGGCCTTCAACATGCGTTGCAATTGAAGTTCCTCGCCTTGGTATCCATTTTTCTCCTACAAGATACCTTAGGCTGCTCTATCTTCTGCACGCTCTGGAGTCGGCTGACCGGTCCAGCTCCCAGCCGAACGCTTTATCTTGGCAACCATCAGAGGCAGCTGGAGATGCACGAGTGCTTAAATTGTTACTTTCCTCGCCCATCAGCGTCTAAGCATCACTCATTCTGCAGGGAATTGGTAATATTACTGCAGAATGGCAGCCTTGTTGGATTGCGTTGGCAGGGCCATACCTGTACGTTCTAGAGGCAGAAGACTCAAAGAACAGCCCACATCAATGCATGAGCTACTCCTCAAAGGACAGGAGGAAAGCCTCCTCTACCCTGGAAATCCCAAGCTTTTGGAGAAGATCACACTCTAGAGTCTCTACTGCAATGAAAGGCCCATGACATACTGGAAACTCTCACTTAAGCATCTTGCACTGGAGATTTCCCTTGTGGCCGGAGATGAATGCGGTGATGTTGTGATGTTGTGAGGTTTATTTATGATGCACTTGCACTGGACACACTTCTTCCAGTAAGATCTGAACCACATCACGTACTCTAGTCTAGATTCATATGCTTTTTGTTGAAAAATGAACAAGGTTATGAGTAAGTGATTTGCTAGTCATTATTGATCAAAGTGATTTTGGAAAGATGCTTTGAATGTGGAGTAGTTAACTATGTTTGCCTCCAAAAGAGTGTTTTTTCCATGTTGTTTGGCCAATGAGTGATTGCAAAAAGTTGTAAAGCTTGTGCCAATGCTATTTGATGGACAATATTGTTCAAAGTGAGTGATATATGTTTTGGCAAAGATGTCACCATTGCTAAAGAAGTGTGCCTTGCTATAGAATATGGATGTGCATGGGGAGAACCATCAATGGTAGACTCTTTCACTCAGTATCTATGGTAAACAATGCTTCTTTCTTGCTAGAAAGAGCATTTTGGTAATCTAGCTTGCATAGGTATCAAAACATCCCTATACCCTATGCATTATATGAAAGATTATTGGCTGCCATCTCTGCCTGAAATGAGTTTGAACTAGCATAATAAAGTGTCTAATATGTAGCAAATGCCAAGTCATAGAAAGATGTTAAAGAATTTTAATTTGTGTCAGAATAAAATGTCCAAAATGGGATAGTTCCAAATAAATAAGTATACTACTGTGGATTTCCCCTAACCAAGATTGTTGTCCTTTTGCA